AGTTAATCGCACAATAAATTTAGACTGGCCACATGTGTAATGGCGTATAAGTGGTAAGGCACATGACTGATGAGAAGAGGATGAGGGAACTGGGTTTATTTAGCCTGCAGAAGAGAAGACTGAGTGGGGATTGAATAGCAGCCTTCAGCTACCTGAAGAATGGATTCAGCGAGGCCAGAGCTGGACTGTTCTCAGTGGTGGCAGGTGACAGGACAAGGAGCAACAGTCTCAAGTTGCAGCAAGGGAGGTTTAGGTTTTGGGTGGCCATCATAGAGGACATCCCGGTTTTCTGCTCCTCTGTCCTCTATTGATGCGAAACCCGACGCCTTTATGTCCTCTATTTTCCTCTTGAAGAGAAAATATAGAGGACGTAAAGGCATTGGGTTTTGTATCAATAGAGGACAGAGGACAACCTCAGTGATGTCCTCTATGATGGCCATCTTATTTAGGCTGGATATCAGGAAAAACTTTCTCACCCGGAGAAAGCACAGGATCAAGTTACCCAGAGAGGTGGTAGCATCTCCATCTCTGGACGTTTTTAAGGCCCAGCTTGACAAAGCTCTGGCTGGGATGATCTAGTTGGGGCTGGTCCTGCTATGAGCAGGGGGTTGGATTAGATGCGACCTCCTGATGCCCCTCCCAACCCTCATTTTTTTTATTCTATGTGCACAGTAATTATCACACAATTATCTGGTTCATCATGCAGTCAAGTTAGAACAGCCACATGTGCAAAGTAATTATCTCACAGTAAAAATGACCGTCCAGCTATAAAAGGAGCCAACCAGCTATAAAGTTAGTGCTTGAAAATGTTTAACAACTCTATAGCTGGTTTCTACCCAGCTTTCATTTGAACCTGTAGCAGGGTCCTTAAAGTAAGCAGAGTATAATGTTGGCAGAAAGGTTGGGCGGGGAAGAAAACATGAATGTAGCTAAAATACAGGAGAAGTATAATGCGTGGATGGGTTATGGAACAAGAAGGTTAGGAAGGGAATGGCTCTGGAGGAGGGTGTAGAAATGTTCTGTCTGAGCATAGCAGTCACCATTTGTTTGATGACTAATTGGACAGTTGCTCCGTACTGTGATTGTCTGAGGCATTTGGTGCAGGCTACTGGTCTCGTCTGCTGTGCTCGCTGTAGGTGGGGTCGCATGTACCTGAAGAGCTGGACTACGCTGATGTTCACAGTGTTACACAAGTTTAGGATTTTCTCTTCTTCCACTAGCTTCGCAACCTGTGCATGCAGGTTAATTTCTTTTGTTCTTAAAAGCAGACAAGGTTCTTTGGGTAAATCTGATATCTTTTATTAGACCAACTTTTGTTCTTAAATGCTCATTCTGTACTCTAGGCCATGCCTGTTCCAGTGCTGATAGCTTGAAAGCTTTTGGGGCAAGCCAGTATATTTTAGGTTGAATACATTTTAGTATAATTGCATATAATTAATGTTAGAGGGTTTTTCTGCGCACTAAAACATCATCTTCAGTGTCATGCAATGCTTTCTGAAATCAGTGGAAGGACTCCAATATATTGACCTGGCATATAAAGCTCTAAGTGTTAGCAAGCAGCTTCTCTAAGTGTCTTAAAGAGTCCTAGAGATGTGTTGTGGACTTTACCACACACTTTGCACTGGCTGGTCTAAACAGGGAAGGCTAGAGGGAAATAAATGCAGAACTTCGGGGTTACATTTTATCAGAAACATTCACGCAGCTCGAACTCTTCTGACAAGGTTAGGATATCTGTTGTGACAATCAAGCAAATGAAGCGTCACAGAAGAAAAATCAGAAGCCCTTTATCTGCTGCCAGGAAATTGCAAGAGTGCATTGTAAGATGCTTCTGGGACACGTCACTGTGTGCGTAAAAAAAAAAAAACAGCTGCTCAGATGTACTTAGTCTATGCTGTGTCGTTGCACTGGATTTGCATTGTATTTGCTGTTTTATTTCAACTAGAAAAACAGAACCTAAGCTAAGGAGGGAAACTCTTTAGCCATGGAGAGAGCCATCCAACATCGTTGCGCTGATAGACAGTTCCAAGTTTTTTGCTTTAATTTGATTATAACAGGGATGGCTGGAATGATGAGTCGAAAGGCAAGTGATTAGTATTTGCAGCCTCCTGATTATGGCAAGAGCTGACCTTTCTTGAGAGTGGAAAATATTTTAATTAAATCAATGTGGAGAGAGGCTAGTTCATTCTGGACTAAAAATACTACAGTGATTTTCATTTTAGCCAAAAGGGAGCACTCCTGGAACAGGTGCTAAACGACATTAAGCACTGCCTGAGATTATTTTGGTTTGCAAAAATGACATTTGGTGCTGACAGGAGTTGCTTCCTCTGGATGTTTTTCTGATTGGACAAGTTCCCATTAAGTGTAGTGGGTAATTTGCCTCCGTAAAAGACTGTAGAGTTATGCTCCCATTCTGCAAATGGAGGTGTAAATGAATATGAAGTAAGCTAGGAGAAGGTGACAGCTTACTCTGTGATTTTTTTTTTCCAAGATGAAAATTGCTTCTTAGTCCTCTTTTCCATTTGTCTCTCTTAAAATAGCAGAAGAAAAAGAGCCCTTTAGGAAATGACTTAATAGCAGGGACAATCAGCTGCTTTTCTTTTCCCCCTCACATTGTTTGACCACTCTGTTGCATTCCAGTCTCAAAATCTTCACAGCGGAGGAACACAACTATTCCCCAGCTTTGGCACACTTAGCTCTGACTCCTACTCCCAAGTGACAGTGGTTTTCTCTGCCATGTTTCTTCCAATATCCCAGTTTGTTGCAGCGTTCCTCTGGCAAACAGGCATCAGAAAGCTCTTTGGTTACTTACTCTGATTGGCATCAGATCATATTTTTCCCTGTTTACAACCAAAAAAGCATTTTTGTACCAGCAGTCCCACAAAGACCTCTTGGGATCTGACAGCCAAGCTGGGAATCTTTTTCTGCTCGAGTAGGGAGGCTGACCTTAGGGGATAAGGCACTGAACTCTGGCCTGAGGTCAGGATTACATTCCCAGCCGTGAGAGACCTCCTTCTTGATTTTGGAAAGGTGACATTGCCCCTGTCTCCCAGTTCTCTAGCCGTAAAATGAGTGCGATTGGTGATATTTCGCATGTGCTTAGAGATGAAGATAATTCTGCTGCTGGGGATAAAAAGTTTTTCTGCAGGTCACAGTTTGATTTCCCTTTGCCTAAAACATCTGTCTTTCCAGGTTTTGTCCTATCTTGGAGAGGGAGAGATGCAGATTAACTACTGTATTCCAGGTTGAATCTGTGGGCCTGGTAGACAACAAGAAGGGGAAAAGCATCCTTTTCAAATCATATTTTTCTTTTACCAGTAGTATTTGGATCTTGACTCAGCCTGGTCACATGTATAGTCCTGGTACAAGCCAGGAAGTCTGCTCCCTCTGATGGATGGAGGGATCTCAGTGTAATTCTTGTGATTCTAAGGGCTGTGATGTGAGAGTCAAAGGGAGGTGAAGACGAATTAAAGGTGTGTGCCTTGCTGCCCCAAGGAATTTCTTGGGCTAATGATGCCAGTCCATTAAAACGAAGGTCTATGATCAGAACTATCCTAAGGCTTGAGAGAGAGACTTTCAGAGAAGTTTAGCAGAGCAACAGATGTATTACTGTATAGAAGTGCAAGCAGAGGTTGTCACGCTAACGAGTCTCCTGAGTTTTGGAGATGATGCAGGCAGGCAGAGCGCTGAGATGGGGGTGAGAGAGGGTCAGTGCAATCAGATGTGGTGTTTAAGGTCAACAACTATGTGTTTTTTTTCAGGGTGTTGCAGCTATCCTGAAAGTTGAGCTTTCCAACCTGCACAACCTGCATTTGGTGTTAGGATGGCTATGGAGGAATGGAGGGCTGGTAAAACAAGAGAAAAAGTTGGTTTTAGATTTCTGGTATTGAAAAATATATGTGCAGCTGGGTGTTAAATCCTCATTCATAGGTGCTGCTGAATTTCCAGCTGTTCTTGAGAAGACTAGGAGTCCTGTGGGGAGCAAACCCTGCCCTTGGCCATCAGCAGAGGGAGTGGAGGGATGGCTTCTGAGGTCTTTCCTCTGTGTGTTCTCCATGGTGCTGAGATCTTTATCCCATGTTTTGCATTTTTCCCCCTCTAATTAATTTAGCAAACCTAGGACAGCCCCATCACCTCTCTGTATTTCATTATTGCAGCCAGCATGCCAAGGCCAAGGCCAAGGACCTCCTTGGTACAGCACTGCGTTGGTAGCACTCAGCTTCTAATCCTGGCTCTGGCATGCATTCTCACTGTTGTTTTGAGTGAGTCCCTCAGCCCATCCCTACTCAATTTCTCAATGCATTACATAGGGATAATATTAATTACCTACCTCACAGAGGGCCTGTGAAGATTAATTTGCTAATATTTTTTAAAAAGTCTTTAAAGCTGGAACATGCTGTGCATATGCTGAAGCTGTGGTTTTATTGCTCTGTGCTTCTATCAGCAATAAGTAAGATCTGAGGATGCAGAGTTTTCAAGTCATCCTCCATCGGAAATCCTAAATGACTACCGGTATATCTGCAAAGCTTTATTGTCATGATGAGGGCCACTGTTGTGTCCAACTGATAACATTTGGACCCAGATTTCAAGCCTCTCAAAAATTCAAAGCAGAGGTTTGTCTGAGATTTTAGTTGTGGTTTAGAGAAAAGAGCTAGTCGTGAAAAATAGCTCTGGGCTTGGATTATGGGACTTCACATTTTTAAAATGGTTAGTGAAGCTTGCATAGATTTTTAGCAGATGCAGGCCTGGACCTGTTGTGTGTCACTGCAGCATCGACTCCGTAGGTATAAGTCAAGTCAAGTGAGAGGACAGTGAAATGGCTAATTTATATACAGATTCCAAACCCCACGCAAAGCAGAGGGCTCTTTATTGCAGGTTGGTCAGGCTGGTATCATTAGTGCCACTAGATTTAATGCTGAGCTGGCTAGCAGGCTCTCTTCCAGAGGCATAACCTCCTATACTGTGTCAGCCGTGTTGGTCACTGGCATGCTGTTGCTTTGCAGGCCTGCGGAAGGTGATGGTCCGGGCACATCGGCAGGCGTGGTGCTGGCAGGATGAGTGGTATGGGCTTACCATTGAAGACATCCGACAGCTCGAGAAGGAGGCGCAGCTGATGCTGGCTAAGAAGATGGCCCAGTTCTGCTTCAACGAAAATGAGGCAGAGCAGCACAGCAGCAAGGACTCTCCAGGCGAGAAGGATGCTGAAGCCAAGGCCCTTTCCTCCGCTGATCAAGAGCATGCCACGGATAACGGTGAAGCTGTGTCAGGGAGAGGGCTAACTAAGCAGTGGTCCACGTCTTCCAAGTCCTCACGGTCTTCAAAAAGAGGAGGTGAGAAGTTTGTAATGGGATTCATAACTAGTGACCCCATCCTTGGTCTGAGCACGAACTTGGCTGATGTAACACACAGGGTAAGTGTGATCATGGCTCCCATCGGTACTGGGTTCCCACAGCAATGAAGAGCCTACTTAATGCCATCAGTAGAGTTGCTCCAGGTATGTGTACACTGCCTCCACACTACTGTTGAAGGTGCTGCCAAAAACTAAACCCATTCACTCTGTGCCTCTCCTTCTGGGAAATAAGGTGGTAAAGTACACTCTCGGGTACCCTCTACTGCCTCTCCGAGAGACGGAGGTCTGAAAAGCAGCAGCAGGGGCCTCCCTTTAGCACCCTTCTATCCCCATTGCTGGATTTGGAGCATACAGAGTGAATGAGCATGGCTTAGTTTTCAATAGTGACTTTAAGGGCTATGCTGAAGTCAGCGTAGAGGTACCCTCCATCAGCCCGTATGATAGAGGCCTGTGCTGCTGGTGTGAAGACCATGGGTTCAGTCCTTCAGGGGACCTCTGCTTAGGGCTCAACATCCTCTGTTGAGGCACATGCTAGAGCTGGGACTCCTGAAATTACAGATGGTGGAATTCATGTCAACTTCAAAATTAAAGAAATTAAAAAAAAAAAGATCAGAGGGGAGAGAGGAAAGCAGAGACAGCTGTTAGAGGTGATCAGTGTTGAAAGAAAGTGGACACCAAGGGGAATTAGTCCCTGTTAGTAGAATGTCACAGAAGATTTTATAAAGCTGCATTCCTCAGGTGATCACCCTTTTCTGGGCTTGCTTCTGTCTGTTGTGAAGTGCTGGACCTATAGGAGGCACTCGGTAGGAGTAACTGTTAATTTGCATGCGTCCTGCTCTGGGTTTTCCTAGAATACAGTTCAGGTGACAGGCATGCTCTTCCTTGGTCATTGGTAAATGTTACTAGTTGTCCTTTATTTCAGAGGACACAGCTGGCTTCCAGGCTGCTGAGATGTTGCTTGCACAGCTAAGGCCTGTAATTGGCCATTTGGGAAGATAAGGAAGGTCGATTATACAGGTGAAAAGGGAAGCGAATGACAGCTGCTGCATTTCATTGTTGTTGGTGTTTGGTGTTGAAGCATCCAACCCTGAGGAGGTTGGCTGCCACTGTGGATCAAATTTATACTTCCTTTTAAAGACCACACAGTAAAGTTGAATGGGGAAAAAAATGTTTTAGGAGCAGCCGTGAGGGGCCCTAAAAGGCTCAGTTCAGAACCATGATTGTCCTCTACACAGTCACGTTTTGTTGAAGCATCCTTTCAGCTCACGATTTTCTAGGTCTGTTTGTTTGGAAAAGAAGGGGTTGAAGCCTGTCATCTTTGCTCAGTTTTTCTTCACTCCTTTAATCCTGAAAGTCTGCAGTGGGAGGAAAGAGAGGGTGACATGACATTCTGGCCCACTGATATCATGGGGTGAAAGACCAGGGAGGTAAGACCACAGGTGGTGGTCTTGCCTCCATCCAGTTGGGTTAGGCAGATGTCAGGAAAGAGCCTATGGTTCACTTCCCGTACCCATTACATAGAGATAAAGTTACCACCTGCCTTGTTTACACTAGGCTTAGACAGTGGCAATGCCATCTCTTTGTTAAAAAAAAACAAACAACCCATACACCCTCCCCATCCCTTCCTCCACCCTCTCCCTCTGGTGGAGAATATGGCTAGTAGAGGTAGGAACATCTCAGGATTTCCTGTCAAGGCTTTGGCAGCAAAGTTGGATTTATTTTCTTTCCCTACCCGACCCCATCAACCACTGACTGGCTCAGCTTTTACTGGAAAAGTGGGCGAAAGGAAAGAATTGCTACGATCTGGGGACTGTGTCACACAGATATTTTAATCCTCCTTTATTCTAGCTTGAAGAAATGGCAGCACATTTGTATACATCAGTGTGGAGAGCGGGCAGGATTTACTGCTGCCTTTGACGAAAATGCAGCTCCTTCTCTTTCCACATGGCTGAGCTCAATCCGCTCTACGCTGTCTGAGCGAGACCCCCGGTGGAAGCGGGACCCTTGTCACCCATCCATATATTATTACACACTCTATTTTTAGCAGCTATTATGCGACTGCCTTGACGTCACTCCAGCGTGAATTAGCTCTGCTATGCCAGTCTCGCTGTTCGCTGCTCCCAAAGGGTGGGTAGTAGGATTGTCGGGGGCTGCCGAACCAACGTGAAGCTGTAATTAGCTGCCTCTGCTCAGGGTCACAATGGTCTTTCCACATGACAATTAGGTAGTAAAATTAGAACGGGAAGAATTTGCCTCCCATATTTAACCCTGTTACAGGAAAAGAATAAATAGTTTTCATGCGGCCACCATAAGAACGTGACCTGTTCAATGTCTTTATGCGTGCTAAATGTAAATTTAACAGGTTCCAGTCTGGAGCTGTGTTAGGTTATAATACTGCTGCTAGCAGCACTTTTTGTGTGCTCCCTCTTCTGTAACACAGCCGGATTCATCATCAGCGAGTGGAACGGGATGAGAGCGAGAGAGCCCCTCTCTAGCTGCTTTGTGGATAGTTTTGACTGGATCTGATTTTATTTCCTGGGAAGAGGTCAGCTAAGAAGGGTTCAGTGTAGATAGCCACTATATTATATTTAATAAGCTGTAGCCCTAAAAGATTTATGTAGCACAATGACCCCTGAAGTGGAAAATGGAAGGGAGCAAGGGGATGGGAGAGAGGCTCCTTCTCTTGCCCCATCAGTGTGGATCTTCTTTCCCTAGTGCACGCTTGCAGGTATCATAGCTGAGAGCATTTTGTTTAAAACAGTTAAGTTCAAGTTTAAATGGTGCTCTCATCCAATCTGTTTGGAAGCAGCTTCCTTCCAGTAAACGTGATTACTTCCCAATACTGCTCCACTCCCTTACCCATGCAGAAGTTAGCAAGGGTGAGGCATGGCTCGCGTGCTGATTACAGCCGGGGAGAGGACTTACAATCAGACGGCTTCCTTTCTTAATTGCAAACTTTCAAAACAAGATGATTTTACACTTCCTACTAATGCTTATAAATAGCTGCCATTCAAAATAGCAGAAGAGTGATACAAACAGCTTGCTTTAATGTGGCAGCTTGCAGGCAGGTTATAACAGCAGTAAACAAACAGGACCTGTAGAGTGGTACGTTGACATCACGCCAGCATCCCAGGGATGTTGTGCCTTAATGCTGCCGTGATCGATTTTCACAAGGGGCGCACAACCGTGCTCCTCTAGCAAAGACCACCTCAGGAACTCTCTGCCCTTGTTGGTATCACATATTGCATAAGACTATTTTGTGTTTATTCCAGCAAGCCCCTCACGCCATAGTATCTCCGAGTGGAGGATGCAGAGCATTGCCAGAGATTCCGACGATAGCTCAGATGATGAATTCTTTGATGCACATGGTACGTAGCACTGACCTGGCAAGCAGTTTTACCTCTTAAAATGGTGGTGTTGTGGGGAGGGAGAGAGGGAGGAACCTTCTACCTTGCGTGAAAGTGCATGTTGCTTTCTGATCAAGAGAGCTACGCAGCCCTGACGGTACGTCCTCAAAGCACTCGCAGCAGCACCCAGCAGACTGTTACGTTTAAACATGGCAGTATTTCAGGTTTAATGCAATCTGTCAGATTTTTAAGAGGAAATGTTCTTGAGTGCCATTAACATGCGGGACTTAGTTTTATAAGGTGCAAATGCATGTAGGTAAAAATAAAAAAAATCAACAGCCTTCTGTATGTCAGCTGCGAGTACAACAGTATTTCTGATTCAGCATGACTGAAATTCAATGGATAAATTGTCAGGTTGGAAAGATAGTGACAAATAGGATCTTGTCTGGATCATATGGGAGCCCCAAGTTTGTCTTTATCAATAATCAAGGCTACTGATAAAAACCCTTGTTTGCTTGCATCAAGAAAAATGGAAGGGGTGAAGTACTTAGATGGCAGAGTTCAACAGCTTTGGTAGTTTTTACTTGAAGAATTCCTTAAGTGCTTAAAGGTGTTATAGCTTTCTCCAGTCATCTTTTTATTTGCCCTGGGTGTATGTGGAAGGAAGATGTGCACATTTTGCATATCTCACTCACGCTATATATGTATAGTAAATATGAACTCAGTACTGTGCAGCACACTGACAAGAGACAGGCTCCTCCTTAGCCTTGCAGTATAAATCTAAGATAGCTGCCTTAATGCTTCGCAGCTTCAGCCGTGCAGGTTACACTAAACAATGCTGCCAGAAACTTTAACCCCAGTGTTGTATGGTAGTATTCTGGCCATATTTGACCCAAGGGAGGTGAATGCGGCTGAGGGTGATGTATTCCAGAAAACTTTTGCTATCAAGTATTTATGAACGTGCCCCAAATGTTCAGCCTTGCCAGCACAAATCCTCCAGTGCGGCATGCTATGCTCTTGTAGAGTTGTGACTTGCAAAACGGCAGGTTCGTGCAGGTTAAGTGACTATTTTGAGAGCAAGGTGGGTCAAGGTTGAAACCCAAAGCGTTTCCTGACCAGAAGCTGAGCCAGCTTATTTGATGTGTCTTTATTTATTAACTTACGTAGCGCCTATAAAAAATGTACCTGAGGGCTTTGACATAGCAATATAAATAGAAGTGAGTCATCAGAATCAACTTGCCGAGCCACCACGCATCCTACCTTTTAATTACAGAAGAATGGAATCTAGAAATGGACGGTACCTGCTTAACATACCTGCCTCATCCCCTGCCAGCGCAGAATTTGTCTGCCTTGTATCATGACGGTGTTCTGTTCAGTCTAGTTTGAAACGAGAGTTTAATTTGCTGGGGTTTTGGTTTTTAAATCAGTGTTCTAAATGGTTAGATTAAGGCAACTCTCTTTGGGGTGGTGACCACCTGCTACCTCCTGAGCTGCAGCCGTCTCTGATTGGACCCCAACTGTACTGAGTTTGTGAATAAGGATTGAACATCATTTACAGTTAATACTGTAGGAGAGGCCAGTACCATGGAAACTAAGTGTGCACTAGGATATGAGTCAGTGCTGTTTAAAGCTACTCATAAAAGCTTCCAATACACGCACAGATTTTCTTGCAATACAGCAAGTGGAGTCTGAGCCCCAAAAGATTTTATCTTATTAGACTCCCTACCTGTTCTCATTTGCGGGCATGTTCTGGTAAAGAGAGGGACAAATATAGTAATATCTAATATCTGTACTGTAATAAGTTCTAATAACAGGAGTAATATTCCATTCAGCGATCACTTAAGCTGCAGTCAGACCTATAATTAAACCTCTCAAGGAAATGAGTTCAATATTTAGATTAAGTTGCTGGAGGAGCTCACAATTTAATCTCCCTTTTTTGTTCTCGATCTGTTTGGCGCACACGGTTTTGCCTGCCTATCCCGTATCGGGTCGCATAACCCGCACGCGTAGTCCCTCCGCAGAGCAAAATCAGATTAAGTTAAGTTTTTATACTGTAGTTAAAAAATGAAATGGCATGTTGCCATGACAATTTCCAGGTCGCTATCTTTACGGTTGAGGTGTTATTAGAAGCACCTAAAAATAAACGGTCTTTGCCGAGCAGTGCATTCAGCCCCCTTTATATAACTCTCTTAGCTGCTTATCAGATTTGTGTTTGAAAGAATAGTATTTCAAAATCTTTTTTGTTCCTGATCTTGAGAGCCTTCCAACTAATGATCTTATTAATAACTGTATGGCACCCGTGACTTGGAAGATTACAGCTTTTATATCTTTGAGACTGAGTCTGGAATTGCAGCCATTATTCTGTGTGTAACTCTTAGTTAAATTTACAAATTTAACTTTTCAGGAGAGAAGCGGTAGGCATGAAGCCATACATGCCATTTCCAAAACAGATTAACCTGCCATCACAGGAATAAATGCAATTTCAAATTGAGTTTCCCTAAAATGCTGCCTTTTATTTCATTGTCACATGGAGATCTGAGATGCTACAAATTGGTTGCTCTTTAGTATTGGAGTGAGGAGCGCTCCACTGTCATAGAGATGGTCTTCAAAAAAGCTAGCCTTTCAGCATGAGCAGCCTGCCTGGTGGGGTTTCTGTTGCATGAAAGAAGCAGGGGTTAGAATAATGATATAGCTTCTGTCCTTCCACGGAGTTCAGTGTGTTTAACTAAAGTTCATATTTAAGCCTCAGAAAACTCCCCAGATAGTGGGGAAATGGTTTGTTCTCTGTCTTTTAGATGAGGGGAAAATGAGGCACCATGAGGATAAGCGTGAAGAGCCAGGGGTAGAACTGAGATCTGTCCTGAGCCTCAGCTGCCTGCCCATCCACAGACCCCTTTTTGAAGCTCTGAATGTTTTTTAATGAAGTGTCTTTTAATGATCGTTATGGCACGTTTGTCAGATGCTGGATGGAAAGCATTGCTCATTTCCCATAGATCACGAGCTAGTCATGATGTCAGCTGGCCACTACCAGCTGGGGTCTTGTTTGATTAATATTTAATCTGTTGCTCTTTGGAAAGACGTTATTTATCTAGGTGCGCTCCTACAAGAAGCATGCTCCCTTGCCTCATGTCAGCAGGAGCTGAAGTTACTCGGCACTTCTCAGGAGCGTTTTGGCACATTGATAAGGTCATACCCAAAAATCCTGACATCGGAACAGAAAAATGAATGAGGGATAATGAGGAAGCTCTTCTTGGAGGTGAAGGTTAAATGAGGATCCATGCTTGCTTGCACTGTCTGGCAACACAGGTTCTAAAACTGTTCACAGTCAGGATTTACTTTGCTACGATCTTTCTCAAGTCTGGACCAGGAATATTAAAGAAGTCTCTGGATAACTGTGTTGATTACAGCAAGCCCAGCTGCTAGTCCTGCTTGACTGATAGATGGAGATAGCTCGTAGGAAGATAACTAGTAAACAGCAAACCCAGTAGTTTCTTTTGCACACTGCATTTGAAAAGTAGAGTCAGTTTTGCTGGTGGGGCTTACTAAATCCTCTTCACGGGGTAGGAAAAAAATATGTAATATGCGCCAGTTGCCAAGTGTCAAAATGCATGGGGAGAGGGAAAAGAGCCACCTGCTTTCAAGGTTGATGAGCCTGCAGGTGAGTTTATAAGGGCATGGCACGGAAATGTCTCTTGGGTCCCCAAACCATCACCGTTTTTTAAAGGGGATGCAAAAGGATTTTTTTGTGTGCCGAAGCCTGCATGAAACGGTCTGTGTTGTCGGCATCAGTCTGTGCGATGTCCTTGTTCAACATTTCCAGTGCGTACAGTGGCCTCCTGGTATCAGAGGGCACTTCAACCGACCTGTGCCCTTGTCTGGTCAATGGGGCCACCCCTGGCAGCTTGCAGATTCAGAATTATAGATCTGGAATCAGGCTTGCCTTCACCGTTGCTGTCACTGTCATGTTGCTTGGAGGTTGATTAGTTTTCTACAGCACTTGAATACTAGTGCAAGCACACACACAGGCACAACCATGCCAGCAAAAAGTGCTTTTGCTGGTACAGCTTCTTGTAGTTGTAGCAGGCATAACTATATTTCCAAACCTTTCCTAGTGTGCATTAGGGCTATCTCTCTAGGATTTCTAGCCCATTTTCAACATAAAACATAAGTTTAGGCAAAGTTCTCTATCTTGTTGCTCTTTCTAAATTTAACTAGCTTCAGACTTAGACCAATTAAAATGTTCCAAGGCCAGAAATAGCCCATGGAGTTAAATTGCTTTTATTCCTTACACTGCTTCAGATGCTGGTGGTATTAATAATAATGAGACTTAGCACCCTTTAACTCAGAGAGCTAGACAAAAAAAGTTAGCTAAGCTTTGCAACACCTCTGGGAGTTATGAAGGGCAAACGGCGGGGATTGCTTTGCCTACCCCTGACTGTTGGGAGTAAAATGTGCTGCCTAATTAGCACTGCCTCACCGTGTCACAAAGTAGTGCAAGGCAGACAATGTGGCAAGGAAAATGTACTTGGATTTAGACAGCGAACTGCATTTCAGTCTATTTATGTGCACTTTAGAGCTATGTGAGCAGTCTTTTTGGTTGACAGCAAAATACATTTTAAAGATCAACATAGTGTTTAAACAGTTGACTCCAATTTTAATGCTCTTACTCAGAATTAATTAAGATTTGCAGGGGGTTTTATTTAGATATTCTTTATGTGCGTATCTACACGCAGATAAATCCGTGTAAGTGTGCATGCATTTAAAAATGCTTTTTCTATCTCTCTTTAAAGAGGATTTGTCTGACAATGAAGAACTGTTCCCAAAAGAAATAACCAAATGGAGTTCCAATGATCTGATGGATAAAATTGAAACTCCTGAGTGCGATGATGTCCAGGGTAATTTATTTCTCTTTACTTAACACCACATGTAGCTTTTCCTGGCCACTTAATTTAACTTTTGCAAGAATCCTGAAGAAGGTATAGTTGGAGACAGAGGCAAATGGAGACACAGAGGCAAAGGGTGAAAAGGCCTTGCCCCTGTCCAGCAGGGATCGGAAACAGGGAGAACTCAGCTCCCTTCTTTTCCGCATCAGTTTGTTTTTCCAGTGAGTTTGTTGTTACAACAGTGAAATCCTCTGATGTGGCCTTCGATCACCCAGGCTTTCCTCGGACATTGTTTCTCTTTGCTCCCTCTCCACACTTCCTGAGTTGCTTTTAGAGAAGGCTTAGCAGTCTCACCTGTGTCCTCTTTACTAATAACGTTTTCTTCCCTTTGGTCATTTTAAGATTTTGAAAATTGACTCGTTAAGTTAGACTGATTCCTCCAGTGATGCGGTGATCAGAAGACAAAGCAGACAGAAGAGCAAATTAAACCCTGTTCTCACAGTGTAGTTCCAGCCGCTTTCTAGTTCGTGCAGCGTGATTGTTTCTAACAGTTGTGCGAGACTGCCTTGCACTGCTTCTCTACACCTACCTGAGAAGTACATGCAGTACTGTTACCCTACTACTATATGACTTTTTTGCAATTAGCAGCTTGCATTTCAGGTTTATTTAGTGGACTTATGTCTTCTCAGGCTGTCTGAATGTGGGCTGTTTTTTTATATGTGCTGTGTCTTCTCCTGCATCAACAACGTTTTCACATGTAGGTTTTTGGGTTTTTTTTCAATAAAAACCTCCATGCTAAAGAGAGAGTAGGATAGAGAGATGTAGTTATTGAATTTAATGAAGATGCAGCTCCTTGATTTTGTGAAAAAGTGTTGAAAGTACAAATACCCTGACTTTCCCATATTGCCAAATGAGAATGGGGGATTTAGGTAGATGGGAATAGGGTCTTGATGTGGAATGTGTTGCAAAGTGTCAGTTTAGCTGTGATCAAGAAATACCTGCTTTGGCAAAATGGAGTTTGACACTCTACTTACGTTTCAAATCTCTTTAATTCCAGATGACTTGTATCACGAACCATCAGCAGAATACCATATTGGCTCCAGCGTGGAAAGGCTGAGCATAATTGAAGTAAGCGCTCAGATTGCATCTAAATAAAACCCTTGTTTATAAAATGTCACTGATGTAGGGCAGGAGGAAATGGCCTCCTACATTGCAACAGGTATTTTCTGTGTGTAGTTGAGTGGTCCCTCTTGCACCTCTGTGCCATGGAGTTAATTCCTACCAATGTTTATGCAGTCTCTCCACCAAGGTAGTTACCTGCACAAAATTGTTAATAGCACATAGGCAACAGTGGTTGTAGTTCACAACTGAAAGACACTGCTGCAATCCTGTGTGTATGTCTACCTGCACGCTGCAGTAGTAGGTTGAGATACTGGAGCTAGCTCAGGTTCCAGAAACTATTATAAGCCATGCTAGAACAGTACTGAGAAGCAATATAAATGACCTGCATTGGGTCCGGTAGCTGATATAGCTCAGGTGTCTCTAGACAGCATGGTATGCTGCAGGTACCTGTCCTCTGACATGTACTACCCTAGCACCAACCATATCCAGAAATAGCACTCAGTGCGCTGTGCAGAACCACTTTTCCAGCTTGATCATAGACTGTAGCCCCAAACCAGAACCCTGAATCCAAACAGCCTGGACTTTCTGGAGATTTGTGACCTTAAAACTACCTATTGTAGTTTGAACTCATCTTCAGTATCGGGTGAGCGGGGCAAGGCTTTTCCCCCCACCTCACCCAGGGGGCCATCAAAGATCAGCATGTGACTAACGCTACTCTCCTCCAACCCACCTATGCATGTATGGATCCTTCTAGTTTTGTTTTGAAAAGATCATTCTAGGAAAAAATGTGGAAGAATCAGCACTGCTATAGATAATAATCAGTGTTCACAAATAAAGGGAGGGAGTGAGAGAGTCCTCTGAAAATCTGTGAATTACAAACATTTTGTTCCCTTACTGGGTGGCACCCACTCTTTTATTTGATGAGTTTTCAACAGGCCTTGCTTGTTAAAGGGTAGTTGTAGTTCAGGAAACAGGTTGTGGGTCCTTTCTCTTATACTTGGAACTTGTGGAGTCTAAATAGCCCCTCCTGTCATCAGAAATTCCCTGTTTCCTTCTGAGCAGAGGTTAATGAACTTGAGAGGAAAGGAGTCTGTCTACGAACAGTTGCCAATAAACATTCAGAGGATCTGGGCTTGGTAGTGACTCATGGTGACTCATTTCAAACCTTCTTGTCAGGAGTGGCTCAGCCAAAGAGCTCCTTCTGTGCTTCTGGCCATGAATTTCCAAACCAGAGTCAGTGTTACGGGAACCGCAGGGTTGCATATTACTAAGTGTGGTAATTTGCACAGCTTAATAGCACAAAATAATATGGCATAGTCTTTTTACAGCATCTCATCTAAAGATGACTTTTGACCAGTAATAAGGCTCAGCTTTTTAAGAGACGTGATTAGTCAGGGAACAACTTAACGAAGGGGTGCAGCATATTCCCTTGCACTTGACATCTTTAAATCGCCTCTTTCTAAGCCTGCACCTCTTTCTAAAGACCTTGTAAATGAACTGGAAGGCTTAGGCTTGAAGCAGGAATTGCCAAATAAAATTCTAAAGCCTATGTTATGTTTGGAGGCCTCCTGCCATTACAGCTATGAATCTCAAAATGCTTTCAAGTTGGGCAAGTATTGTTCTCTCCATGTTACAGGTGGACACATTTCTCTTGGACCTGGCTTCTCCAAAAGCAAGGGGACACCCTGCATTGCAATTGCCCATACAAGAAAGAATTAGGATTTGTAGTTGCTTTACTGATATTTTCTGAGAAAAAGTCATAGCTTTGTGTGACGGCCAATACCACGAAAACATTTTTTTCTTTCTATGGTATTCTCCTCTGCTTCACCCTATTTCTTGAAAGCAATAATTGCACTCCTCAGCCTTTGTTTTTCTGGCATAACAAGCTGGGCTATGCTAATCTTGTCTTGTCAAGGAGCTCTTCTCTGCTTGTGTTCCACTTGGAATTGATTTTTCTTGAATGCAGGTGACTAGAATTGTACATGTTCCAGATGAGGTTTCTATGCCAGAACGGTGACATTAGTACTTCTGTGTTTCTACTGGAAACACCCTGCTCATTGCATCACAAGAAAGTATTTTGCCTGTTTTTTGTATGGACAGCATGTACCTTGCTGTTGGGGGGGGGGGGGGGCATAATTGTATATAAA